CATAGATACTGTCATCAATTGAACACCAAGACGTTTGTCAGCAGCGATAGCTACACAATTTTTTCCGGCCATGGCAATTATGGCCCCACCATTGTATTCTAGAGCAGACTGTAACAAATGGGGAATGTTGACGTTACGATCTAGTTTTAATTTTCACGAGAATCAAATAAACACGTTCATTAACTGTAAGGTTCTTCGCTACTTACCATTATTACGAGTAAGTGGCACCGGTAAGAGAAAGCAGATGATATTCTTGGTATACGTATGTACATACGTACACGATCGGATTATGTCATGTGATGTGACCTAGTTAATATAATTACGTGACACGAATCTAAAAATTTTTTCTTCTACTTTTCTGTTTTATGGACATTAATGAGTAAGTATTCTTTATTATCTAATACATTAAAATAAAATAAGTGATGAAATACTTTCCTTTGGCTGTCTGATTAAATATGAAGACAAACAAAGTAAATCGCTAGAAAAAAATTTCTGATAATGTAATTGAAAATACAAGCGACATGAGAAGTACTTCAATCATGTTAACTTTAATTCTTATTTGATTATAGCACATCTGAAGACCAGAAAGTTTTTATTTTAATAACATTTGCTTGTGCAATCTTCGTCATGCAATTCAATTGCAAAAATGTAAAAGCCCTGTATAACTAGGAAAATTTTATTCTTTTGTATATGGATTTTTTTTTTTTTAAAGAAATTAAAATTTAACGCGATAATCTCTCGAAAATTACTCGCACCATCCTGGAACAAGTTTTTTAACTTCTTCCTTTCGTTTTGCTGAATTTTCTACCAAGTTATATAACCAAAAGTGAAAATATCAATTTGAAATAATCCAAATTTTCGTTTAAGTAATACTGAAAAATATGCAACATACCATCAAATTTTAAGCGTTGAGTCTTTTCATCGTCTCTAATTACCTGGTCAAACCTTCCTCCAGCCTTAACTTTAGGTTTATCCCGACCGCTGGTGTACGTTATTTGATGCGTATTTTCAGCTTTATCATCGCCTTCTTTGGGTTGTAATGATTCCTGAGGACGTGAATCTGTTTTATGATGCTCCTGTGAACATTCTACATAACATAATTTTTCATCAGCGGAATCACCCTCCATATAAACGTTTTCCATGACCGTTATACTAACTATGTGAATGAAATTAGAAGTTAATGTAAAATAAGAGTTGATGTAAAATTTAAGTCTTTTTTTTTAGTAATAAAATGAATTCAGAGAAATTTAATTAATGATGCTTATAAAAGAAAAATTAAAAATTAACGGCTATGGAAAATTAGGTCATTCAGGCGAGCATATAAAAATGATCTCAAATTTCAAGCTGATTACGTTTCAAATCAATATCAGATATTACACCATTATTACGAGAAAATTACAGTATTGGCAGAAAAAACTGTTTAAGTTTTTATTACTTAATATTAAAATTAATTAAATATTTTTAAAATTATATATACAGTAATTTTACAATATTTAAAATTTTGATTTTTTGATTTGATTTTTTTATTAACATCAAAAATATTAAAAAACCATTATAGTTGAAATTTTAAGTTTTATTATAAAAATACTATAAATAAATTTTTAAATTTCTAAAATTATGTATTTTTTTATTTTCATAAATATTTATTATTATTATTTTTTTTAAAGTAGAAAAGCATTATTTATTTATTTATTTCATATATAATATAGATATATCTTTATAAAAGAATCAACATCTCTTAGATACAAAGGATACAATAAATTAAATGTTAGTCTATCTATTATAACTATTGAACCAATATATCAAAAAAAAATTTAAAACAATATATATATAATTAAATAAAGTTAAGTAACTATATAATTTTATTTTTAAAGAATTGTGAAGAAAAAGAATAAGAAAGTTTTAGAGAATTGCTTAATGATATTCTTAAAGATGGAAAGATGCCAGAAGAGTGGAAACACTCATGTATCTATTCAATCTTCAAAATAGATGACTGGCAAGATCAAATAGACAAGTTGAGACCAATAGTATTAATAGAAACAGGAAGAAGAATTTTCTTTAAAATAATTATGAAAAGAATGGATATGATAATAACAACAAATAAAATCCTATAAGAAAATAACTAGGCAGGTACAACAGGAGGAATAACAATCAAGTCAAGAATAATCCTACAGAATATGATAGAAGATGTACAAGTAAATAAGAAATAAATGTGGATTCTATTCCAAGATATCAAGAAAACATTCGATTCAATTGGAAAAAAAGCTTTAGAAATAACTTTAGAAAGAATAGGAATCCTGTCAAAATTGATGAAGATAATTTTGGAAATAAGAGAAAACAGATCAATAGATATGATTACAAAATACGGAATAACACAAGAGTATAGGATCAAAGATGGATTAAACCAAGGAGATCCTATATTACCATTGTTGTGGAAAATATTTTATGATCTGCTAATTAGCAAAATAAACAAATTGAAATATGATTATAACATGAATAGTAAATGGATAAATGATTATGACACAAATATAATTAAAGAAAAAGAAAGACCTATCTGGTCATAGTCCAGTGGGTTAAGGCAGGATAGGGCTAACTTATGACCTACGGTTCAACTCCAGCTGGGGGATAATTTATTGCTCAACTAGCTCCTGTGACTTGTAATAGAGAGCGATTTGGATTGTTCTGGTGATCAAGGAGCCTTATGGATAGACTACACCCCATAGGTCGAAAGATAGATGATCAGATTGGTAAACTTTCTGATCAAGTATTGCCTGGGAAATACTTCCATAAGGGGAAAGAAGTTTCATGGGATCTTTCCGGTAGTGAAAAGAAAGGTACAGATGGTTAAAACCATTAGTCGCACAACTATTAGTAAGAGTTTCACATGTCCAATGGTAGCGAGGATCTGGTCGGGGCTGCAGGAGATTGCGTGTATCATAGGATGTTCTATCCTAAGGGATATAGTAGCGACGATTGACTCATAATCCCCATAAAACATAACCCCCCACATGTGTTGCTAGGCTAGATTAGGAAGTGTAAGGCTGGGTCCGATCCCCAGACGAGTTTGGTGTACTGGTGTACCCTCATCCCGCCAATGATATCTCACTGACTAAAATCCTAATAAGTCTTGACTAAACTGAATGGTTGTAAAAGGTGGCAGACATAATCCGGATGGGAAACCTGTGGGTGGATTCTAGCTTGATACAAGTATTAGGATGTCTCACTAATACAGGCTAGAGTAAAGTCTCACTTAACAGATTAAAAAAAAAAAAAAAAAATTAAAGAAAAAGAAATTATTCTAGAAAATATAGTTTATATGGATAATACAACCTGGGTAGCAAAAGAAAAAAAGGAAATAAAAAGAATACTACAAATAGCAGAGGAGTTTTATAGCATAAATGACATAGAAGTAAATGCAGAAAAATTTAAACTACTAGTACTTAAAACAAAAAGGAAAAAACCAAAGGTAGATCTAATAGGCAAACAGATTATAGCAAGCAAAAAGGATAAAGCTAAAGATGGATTCCTAAATTATTTGTAAGGACATAATTCAAATGTCCCTTATTATTAAAAATTTTTATTTCTACATTAAGAAATAAAAAAAAACTACATACAAAGGTTCTTTATAATTTTAAGCATCTATACAAATTATTTTTGGAATTATGTTCCTATTGAAATAAAGAGCTAGGAATTATGTCCTCTAGAGAATGTAGACATAAAGAAACATAAATTTTATATGCTAAATACTTTAGGAACCTATCTTTAGATAAAGCAAAGAGATTCCTGGGATTATGAATGCAAAGAAAACCAGGCAAGGCTACGCAAAAGAGGAAGATGAATCAAATAATAATCCATAATCTCAACACAATCAGAAGAAAGAAGGTATCAGCGAAAATAATCAAATACTTAATAAATAGAGTGCTCCTATTAGCTATCGAATATTTAGCAACAGATACCTATGTAAAAGAAAGTATAATAACAAAATGGTAAAGATCAGTTGATGGGATGTATAAGCAAAAGAATAGTCTAGCAAGTAGTTTTCCAAGTAGTGCCTTAAGGAATCAAACGCTAAGTGAAATCAAGAGTATCAAAGAGAGAATAGTTTTAACAAGATTAAGTTGTCTGGAAATGATTATAAAGGATGAGGGAATTTTGGGCAGTATAGAAGAAATAAGACTTTCACAGCTCCAAAAGAAAATATGATTAGTAAAAAAAGTCATACAAGATATACAAGAGTTAAAGAAGAAAAGAAAAAGATATATATTGACAGATATAATATATAAGTGCTGAAACCAAGGGTTTACTATAGAAACAAAAAGAAGTGATAAAATAACAGAGAGAAAAGGGGAAAAGATTACAATAGAAGAGATACTAGACGAACAAATCTACAAAGAACAAAAGACAAACATGAGAAAATGGAAGGTAATGTTTATGGAGTAGCTAATTAAAGACAGCAATTTAGAGTTGCTGAAATGGAAAAGAATCAATCCGGGATATGGCAACTAGTGATCTTAATTGGTCAAAAATTTTTCAATCAATTAATTGTTTTAATTATAATCAACTACATCAGGAAATTTTTTGGTGGAGATCTCCGGAGATCTCCACCCATAAAAAAAATTTTCGAAAATTTCCGGAAAAAACTTCGAAAATCTTTAAAAATTCTTGAAAATTTCTAAAATAAAAAATT